ATTTCTATTGTTTATTTGGAAGTAAGACCCGAGACTTCATTCTTCTTAGGCTACCGGAAGGGTAGACTAAGCACTAGCTCCTGGAATTATATATGACCTATTATTTAGAAAGGCAAGATTCTAGCTCTTCTGGTTACAGGGAAGAGGTGGAAAATGAAATTTAAGGGCTCAAATTCCAAGAGGCAAATGAAAAGTATTCATTCTAGTATTTTTTACAATTTCATGATTCAGTCAATATTATGATTTTCTGAGGCCTGATTTACAATATTTTTTAAACAGTACCAGTTACTAATCATGAGTCTTCTTTCTGAATATTTTCATTCTGATGTTGGGTGGATATCCAGAAGAGCACAAGTTTAATGTAAGACTGTTTCAATAACTGTGCCAATGACATAGGAATATCAGTAAATAAGACAAGAAATTGAACAAAAAAAATCCATTGGTTTGTACTTGATTACCCTTGCATTATAAGGAGTTGCCCATTTACCTGCAAAATAAAAATAACACTTTGAAGAGAAAAGGTACTTTCCATTTTCTATTTCTGAAGTCCATTTAAGAACACATATTTCCAAAGCATTTTTATGTGAAGTATTTTCACTGCTGCAATGGGTAGATCGCAAGTATTCTAGGACAATTGTGGCAAAAGAAAAAAATAATAATCTTAGACTGACTATTGCAGTTAGGCCTGTAGCTCTTCTCTGAGGCAACTTCAAATCAGGCATATCTCCACTCTGTCCCCTACATTCAAGTTAATGGACCGCTTTGTGCTAAACATCACATTTTAATGTGAATGAGAGAATGTTTTTAGACAAGTGTAGTATTTCATAAAAACTCACTTCAACAGTCAGATTCCAAGAATTAGTATAAAAAGGTCTTCCTTGAAGGATATTTTTCACCTCCTAAATTAGACCCTATAAGGAATTTTAATTTTAAAAAAACAGAATCCTTAAAATAGGTCTATGATTCACTTGTCAGTTTTATTTTACTAAATGTGTTTTTAAGAGACCTTAAACTTTTATTTAAAGAAAATATTTCTTATTTATAAGGAGTTAAAACGCATTAAATTACTGGATGTAGTGAGAGAAAGCTAAATGCCTGGATTTTGTTTTTGTTTTGCATTGGGGGCTTGCAGAAATGCAGAAGACCTTTTGAATAAAGTGAAGAAATTATTTGGAGAGCCCAGTGACAAAAATGAAGAACTCAAGAAAGAAGTCAGAGACAAGCTGGCAGATTACAGTAACAAAATTGAAGATGCTTGGGCCCTGCTGAGAGAAGCTACCAGTAAAATTAGAGAGGCTGATCGCTTATCTGCAATCAACCTGAGAAACATGACAATGGTTGAAGTGAGTACTGAAAGGAAAATCCCTTGATTAAGTATTTTGGAGGTCAGACCAAGATCTGGGAGCTTGTAGTCCACTAGGATCTCTAAGAACACCACAATTTTGTTTTCAGAAGGATATTTAGAAAATATCTTGTGGATGATGCCCTTGGATTCCTCTGTCACGTATGAGGTGGATGTCTTCCCAGTATAAAGAGCCTACAAATGGTCTTATGCAAAATTTAAGCTCTGTGTGAAGGATTTAAACAAGAGACCTATTAAAATCGTAACTGTCATATATTTGCATCTTCATACTTACAATTTCACCTCCCTCTCTGACCACTAGAAAAAAACGAATTGGGAGTATGGATGTTAAAGAGTAATTAATCAAACTATATCCTCAATAGTTAGAACCTGTTATAAATGATCTCCCTAGTAGCAGAGGGGTCTGCCTTTGATTTAATTTTAATTGCAGAGACTTGAACAGCACATTATACTGTACATTAACAAGCATTTAACCAAGATAGAAAGAGCAGAGTGAAACCTAAATGAAGATGAATGTTTCAGACTCTTTTTATATCTCAATGAGCTTATGCCTAATGTATAATGATGAGGTTAGAGTTCCAGGACCTCAGCTTTCATCGCAGATTTGTGGGCTTCGTTGATTTACAGAGATACATACTGTAAAGAGAAATCTCTCTGTTGAACATTTCCCAGAGGAGAAGGCAGGAAGGATGGTGGAGGGTCTTAGTTAATGGGAGAGCATCTAGATGAGCACACATGTGTAATATGTGGCACTGCAGACCTCTGTGGTACCACAAACCACATGCGCTGCACATGTAGGTGTTTGCCATGCTGCTCATTTGTGCTGTTTATTTGGAGATCCTAGTGTAAAAAAAAACAACAACCTGTGCCTGAAAAAAGTGGAGTGGTGCATGTGGTGGCAGTGTGCACCACCTGAAACTGGAGTCTGGTATGCTTCAGAAGCTGGCTACACTTCATGTGCCAGATCACTGCCACTGGAGCTCTGGGAGCCCCCCATGATCCCAGGTAAGGCTGCTGGGGCCAGCCCAGGCACTGGCCTCAGCCTCCCCTGCCCCACCCAAGGCAACATGCCATGCGCCCAAGCACTTATGTATGGTTGTTCCCTGGGGACAAGTAACAGTGGCACAGAGAAACGCAAGTGCACCCTCATCTGGATGTGCCCGGGGAGTTTAAGTAGCCAAGGTATCTGAATACTTTTAAAAATCTGCTGTAGACTCTTAAGCCATTCCCAAAATAAGTTAATTGAAATGCCAGAAAGTCTCCCCTCAATCAACACCCTTGTCATAATTCTGAGGCTATTTCCAACTTTTCTGCCTTTTCTTAGCCAACAGCTATTATAGTGCTTTGCTACTTATACTAACTTGGCCTCCTATGTCCGTTTAAACTTTGTTACTTACTGGATAGATATATGGTATGGCAACACACCTTGTCCTAGAAACAAAAATAGTGCTCTCCTTGTTGTGGAAAATGCCTGTTAGGTGGAAAACTGAGTGCGCAAAGGTTGCTGCAAAATCATCATTTCTTGCTTCATAAATCAAATGAAATAGTGCTGCCGAAAAAAGAAAAAGAAAAACCAACAACAAACTGGAAACTTTTCATAAGTGTAGAATCAAGATTAAACACAAGTATGAAAACTATTACCTGTGGATTTAGTAAAACTGCAGAACAGTTTTGAAGCTAATTTTCTGTCGAGGCTGGGGAAAAATAACAACATCAAAAGGAAAGTGAAGGGCCTCAGGGGAAGAACTAGAATTTCTTGTTTTTCTAACTCATTCCACTGCAATGTTATAGGCAGATGCTGCTGATTCTAGATAGGAAGGAGGATAAAAATTGAATACTTTTGCCATTGAGACATGCTTTGTTATTATTGTTGCTTTAATGTCTTCAGAAGTTTAGAGGTTTCACAAAGGTACCACCATCATGCTTGTATTTGAATTGCCTTTGCACTCTAATGTACTTTTGCTCAACTAATCTCCATCTTTGTTTGGATGCATCCTATAGAAAAAGAAACAAGCTGCAGAAAAGGGGAAACATAACATTGAAAATACTCTAAAAGAGGGGAATGACATCCTTGATGAAGCCACCAAACTTGCAAGTGAAATCAACTTAGCTGTAGAGGTAAGCATTTTTTGAGGGTAAGTAAAATGAAATATTATTCTAATGGTATAGTAGGTAATTAAGGACCCGGGCAGATGTTAATTGCATAATAAATTGTAGCTTGTCACACATTCAGCTAATTTACTACACCATAAAATGGAAACCTGCCACAAAGATGTTCCATATTTCATGTGGAACATCTTTGGGCATTTTTACATGTGCTCTGGGAGATGCAGTACTCAATTAATTGAGTCTACTCCAATGCACTGGATTTCCAGCGCATCGGAGCCAGCTCCCTGCACATGTATAGGAACCCATTGTGCCTAGTTTCTAGAGCATCTTAATTTGAACATGTGGCAGGGACTTGATGGGTGCCTGGGTTTAAGCTTCTTAGCCCATTGGCTCCCTCTTCATAGTGCCTGTCAATCCACACCAACAGTCACATGATTAGGATCTATCCCTGATCCCTAATATAGTGCATTCTGCAAGGCTATGTCCTGTAAAGTTACAGAGTTGATCATATCAGGGATCAGATCCTGAGCACCATTACACTAACTTCTACCAGTGCCCTAAATAACAACTGATTTAATTTAGCTTTTTTTTATCAATGCTAAAATACTTTTACTAAAAGTAGTCACTTTTTCCATTCTTATATGGGCAATCTAGCTATAAAAGATATATTGAAGTGAACCAGACTGAACCAAGTTGACCCAATCTGTCTGTATTGTACTTACAAACACACTCTTTACTCTTCATGAATCCTGTCTGCTTCTCTAGGCATGATAGTAGATTTCTACATTTGAATAAGGATTATAGTAGGTACATTTAATATTCATTAGATAAAATAACTCCTGGAGTCCACCCAGAGTGTACCTTACTGAGCATGCTTTGTCCACTCATCCTTGCTTATGTTTGCACAGTGTGAGGGAAACAGAACTGCAAACAGCTTACATAGCAAAAATGTTACTTATGTAGCTAGAACAATGCCATTAGATGCACTAAGAAGAATACAGAATTCTCCCCTGTGTGTCTTGATGTATAGGGACACAGTGGAACAACAATAGTGATTCTTTAGGCATCTGGATAAATTGTTATATAAAGGCTTCTGGCTGCAGCCCCCAAGCAGTGGATTTGCATTACCTGGGGTACCTTGAGATGTTTTGAAAGGTGCCATGAGGTATGAGGAGATCAGCAGATGTGAGGCTAAGGTTCCTTCTTGTCTGGTTCCTCTCCCCACACCTCTCCCCCAGTAATAACTACATTAATTTTTGAAGCAGTGTGCAGCTTAATTTACAAACATTACAGAGGGGTTCCTCAAGTCAAATGAGGGGTGCCTTGGTTCTGAAAAATCTGGTAACCACTGCCTTAGTGCAGGGGTTTTCAACCTTTTTTGATCATTGTACCCCCAGGTGGCCGTACGCAGAGTAGTGTACCCCCAAATGCCAAGCGGCCCGGGGGGGGGGCGGTGGGAAGGAGTGGCGGCAGCTCCTGCACGTGAGCTTTCCCTGTGCCCAGCTGGGCGGGTGGCACCTGCACAGCAGCACGGGATGGTGCATGGTGGCACTCTGTCTCCGCCCACCTGTGCATACCCACTCAGGCCTTCTTAAGTACCCCCAGGGTACATGTACCCCCAGCTGACAACCTCTGCCTTAGTGTAATGGATTCATGAGCAAAAGTGTATCTGAGGGTGTGGACACTCAAATGCTTGGAGCCCTTTCAAAAGAGCAGCAGCTGCTACATTCTGATTACTGTATGTGAACAAAGTGAGAACAATTCAAATGAAGCAAACCTTCTCCCATTTTAACACCCCTTCATCCAGGGTTAAAGGTGGAGCTGTTTTGCTATATTTTAATTATTCTCAGATCATTCACATATAACAATTAGAATGTACCAGCTGCTGTCCTTTGGAGAGGACTCCAAGCATTAGTGTCCACACCCTGGGTCTGTCAACCGTACGTGGCAAAAGCTACAGTTTTTCATATGACATGGTATTTTATTTCTGGATATCATCAAAGTATTGTATAGATCCTTATGTATCCATAATTTAGCAAAAAAAATAGTGCAAGTGTGACTGGTTGTATATAAAGTGAAGTTTGTTTTTTTTCTTTTATCATCTCCTGCACACTGTTAAGAGACAAGGAAGAATTCTAAGTTCAAGAAAGGACTAGTTCCAGTGGAATAGTAGCCTATTTTTCTCCAAATTTCAACTGTCTTTCATTTTTTCCTCATTATCTCACTGAAATTTTCTTAAATGTCAAAGAATGTGAGAAGATGTCTCAGAGGGAAATATATGCAAAGGATTGTGATTTTTGCACTCAGCTGCTTAAAGGCTATTATTTTGTGGTTTACAGTATGTTGAAGACATTGGGAAGAAGATGCAACCAATCACTGATGAGCTGACGAATAAAATAGATGATCTAGCCAAAGAAATTAGAGACAAAATGCTTCGAGAAAAGGTGTTTCAAGCTGAAAGTCATGCAGCACAGCTGAATGAATCATCTGCTATACTGGATGGGTAAGACTGACCTTTGTTTATACTTCTAAGACTCTTTTAGCCTGATATTTAGAATTGTCTGACGGGAATAAGAAGGGATCACTTTCAGACATTGGTGTCTATGATTATGAACATACAAAATTCCAATACACTATACCAGGGATGTTCAACCCTGGCTCATGGGCTAGATCTGGCCCATGGCTCCCTGTCATCTGGTTTGCCAGCTCTCAGATTTCTGGACCCATGGGACCCCAGGGCCCTGCAAGCTATATTGGGCACCTGATCCAAGCATGTAAGGCTGGGGAGTGAGGACAGCGTTGAGCCCCAGGGCCCAATCTCAGTTTAAGGGGGGGGGGGGGATTCCAGGCCCCCAGGGTCCAACCCCAGCATATAGAAGTGGGATGGTGCTGTGCCAGGCCCTTGGGGGCTAATCTGATTGGGAGGGAATGGTGTCATCTTTTGAGGCTCAATCCTGGTGCACAGGATGGGGAAGCACCAGGCTCCTAGGGCCCAACTGCAGCTTGGGGGGCAGTGCTGGGCATCTGGGGCCCAATCCCAGTGCATGGATGTCCTAATCTCCATGGCCTGACCCTGGTGTGCCAGGCTCAATCCTGCCCATGAACCAACCAAAAGCACCAAAAGGTTAAGTACCATTGCTTTGTACACTGTCCAGTTTGAAGGGCTGAATTTACCTTTTTTTTAAAATGAGATATTAGAAATTAGGCAGTTGACTTTGGTTATTTCTGACATAAGAAAACCTCTGAAAATCAATTGATACCTAGGAGCACTAACACTTTTGCAGTGCAGTAAGTCATCCCTTTGGAATCTTTGTCTCCTGTGCCTTGCACCCTACACACTAAGGCAGTATGGGGATAAGACACACTCATTTGGGTTTGATACAGAATTTTAACAGACACTTTTGCAGAACCACACATGACCTCACAAACACCAGTCCCTTTTTTGTTAAAAAAAAAGTTGTTCCCTTTTGATGTTTGAAGGTCTTTAAGTCTTAAATATGTGCCACTGCAGGTACTGGGATAAAAGGCCAAAATAAATATCACTTGTAAAGTAGTGTGAGAGTACTTGGAAATGTGTTTCCAAGAGTTTGAATAGATTGTTGCTCACCTCTATTGTGTTATTGGTAAAGGATCTTACAACTAATGTCATAGCCGTAGTCAACTAATGTGGTGTGCAGCAGATGTTAGAGAGGCTGACATACAACTGTTGTTATTAAATAAGCATAGTATGTAGATTTACAGCCCTGCCCACACAGTCCCCCCACACCCACAGTCCCCACACCTACCCACACACCCACCCACATCCCCCCCACACCCTTTTTCTTTTAATTGTGAAAGAACATAGATTTTGGGGTATTTTAAAGAGTGAATTAGGGATTTTTCCCAGCAGGGGACCCACCCCTCCTGAGCAGCCCCCTCAGTCTCCCTCACCCACACAGCTCTGGCTCCAGCCCCATCCCTACTTACCTGTAGAAGGAGCCCAGGTTCCGGTCGCTGCAGTCTGCAGCACTCCTTGGCCTGCACGTGCTGCAGCACCAGGGCAAGGGACAGCCTTAGAGTGCTCTGGCTGGTTATCAGAGCATCTTTGTGGAGGACCTGAGCCTCTGGTTGCTTCAGGGCTTGGTCAGGGATTGTGCCCTGCCCCACTTTTTTCACCCGGATTTTATTTTGGTACCTGGGTTTCCAGGTAGGAAATGTTGAGCCTGCACTGCAAATATGCAGTGTGGGGAATGGTTTTTTGCTCCCAGTGTGCATTCTACGGCATCTCAAATCCCTTTGAGATGCTGCAAAAGGCATGTGCATGTTCATCTGGATGTGCCCTCCGAGGTTAAACTGCAGAGATATGAAGCATAGTTCAGGTGATATCTGTCTGCATTTTATACTGGGTAGCCATTTACTCAAATCAAACAGGTTGTTACCTTCTCACAGCCACTTAGTGGTGAGTCACAGTAAAGCAGCCTACAGTCTGAGCTACCTCTGATAAACTGAATGTCCGTTAGTTATATATCCCTAAATAATTCGTGTCAGTGCACAAACCTGATGCACATTACACTGGGATGTGTGATTGTCTTTCGATGCCCTTAGGTTTCCAGATCCATATTAAGGTTCCTAAATAAAAGTGGCCTGATTTTCAAGATATACTACACCTCTAGGTACCATCAACTTCTGTAGGATTCATATGTCCACAATACTTTTATAGCATCTTCTAGATAAATAATTTAATATAATTTATTATATTAGTTTCATAACAACACAAATAAAAGAATTGCTATCCCTGTTTCATAAACTAGGAAGCTAAATCTCAGAGAGAAATAGTGAGTTAGTTGCCCAAGATTTAATTCCTGGAAACAGACCAAGGATCTGGCCCCCTTCCCTATAGCACAGTCTTCTACTGTTGACCATCTCTTTTTTTTAAAGCTGCTACATAGACAAACTCTTTTAAACTTCCATAATAACTCACCACAGCTTTAGAATAAAGTTACTTTTTCCTGATGCCTTCATCTCTTACAGATAACTAGCAGGTTAGATTATGAAGGCTTGTGAACAGAAGCTTCTAACTGTTGTTCCCATGCCGGGAGATAGTATTTTTGGGAGGAAAAAAACCCATGAAATTTCCTTTGATAAAGTATTTGGTACTTACAAAATTATCAGCATCCTATTCAGTGTAGTCGCACTACATGGATGCTGAGTTTAATTTGTTTTAAGGGAGAGATGTAAAGTAATGGTGAATTCATCCTCCTGAATAAAATGTTTTTGAAGTCTGCTGTAGAAAGGAAGTAGAATTTGAAGAAGATACATACATTGTCTGATTAGGACACGGGTCAGTTTTGTGCTACACCTCCGGGTTTAAGCTAGCTGAGTGATGCCACATCCAATTTCTGCATTGTATACAGATAGATAAATGCAAAGACACAGTCCTTGAAGGAGCTAGGTAAGGAGGTGATAGGAGTTTACAGGAATGAGGATATTTTTACCTCTATAATGAAAGGTTGGCAATGCTACTTTGGCTTTCTTTAACTGCATTAAATAGGCATTTCTTCTGGATGCATCTCTATAGTGTCTTAACATAAGATGACAACTTAGCCTTTGGGAGGTCATGGTCTCCCTCATTCATGATAATGTATTCTTCACTGCAGTGTAACAGTAGCATGCAAATGATACTTTTATCTGCTCTAGATATGCACTGCAAATCTCTCAGAATATACAATATAAAGGAAAAAGCAAATGCATTTAAAAATCTAATCTTTAATTAATAATTGCAAATTGAAGATAAAGCTGTTTACTTCATGTACAGACATTAGGGGGCAAATCCTGCTCCATCTAGTAAGTGACAATGTACGACCCAACTCTTCCTTGTTCAAGCCCCTAGAAGTTCACATGTCTATTTGCGTAAGACATCATCATCTTAGCCTAAAGGCTAAGTCATAAAAGTATACATTTTTTAGGGACTCAAGCAGAATGGAAAAGGATCACACTTAGCTACCTAAGTCTATGTGGGTATTCCTCTTAGGTACTTATATAAATGGCATTTGAGCACCTCATAATCTTTTTAAAATATTTATTCTTAGAACTAGACCTGGGCTATTTTTTTTTCAGCCAGTAATAAATTCACTGAGAAATGCCATGTTAGTCAGCCAACTGAGCCCCGCAACCTCCCCCACAAAAATCAGGAGCTGTGTAGTAGGAGGAGATTATCTAGGTTTCCCTCGGTTTGACAGGATTGGAGCCATCAATTTGAGAGAGTACTTTAACTACAAGACTGTCAGATTAAGGGGGATAGATAGTGCTCTTAATCTCTCCTGCTGATTCTTTTACATTTTGTTTAAATAAGAAAATAATTACTGGAGCGGGGGACCAGAGAATCATTTTTTCTTGCTTTCCATCTGAATGACTATTTTAAGTGTTTTATACAATATGTGACAGCTCCAGGAAGATGACGTGAAAAACTCCCCACCCAGCCCTGAATAACCTGGTAGCTAGAATAGTTTCCTGGGAAGTAGAAGATCCAAATTTAATCCACTGTCTGATCAGGGAGAGATTTTGAAACAATGAACCCCAAGTCATTCAGGTGCATGTCCTAACCAGCAGGCGGTAGGTTTTTCTGAGGTATGTCTTCTTAAGTGCCTGCTATTGAAGCTGTACCACTTTGTATAAAGTACATAAATAGTTGCTCAAAGAGCAAGAGAGTGAGAGAAATTGATTCACTAGCTTGGTGCTTAGGAACTCTACTGGGAAGTGGGACAGCTGTGCTCTACTCCTTGCTCCAGTGAATATGGAAATATGTGTTATAATTATGTCTCATTTAAATCATAATGATCTTTAATTAAACATTTCACATAAAATGAGCATTTTATTTTGGTGAGAAAAATTGAAAACTTAATTCAGGTCAGATAGAAGAGATTTTCCCTACCCTCTCCACCCCCTACTAATTTTTTTCATTTGACTACCGAACCGCAAAAATGGGTTTCGTACACAGCCCTGCACACAACTACTTTTTAATCCACATTTTACAAAGACACAAGGAAACTAAGGGTGAGATTCACTATAGAACTTAAAAGTCTAAAATGGGTTAGTCCAAATGAGTAATTCAGAGAAGCCCCACTTAAATCCAGGACCCTTAAGACATAAATTTGCACCAAAAAGCCTTATTTATTGCCTAAAATTCAACTGTTGCACATGTTCAGAGACCCTGCTGTATTGGTCAATTAGATTGCTTAGGCATGCCAAAGACTGTTTGGTATTCACAAAACAAGTGTCTTTGTGTCTCAGCCCCCTGAGGAGCATGCCTGAGATTCACTCTGAAATTCTCAACTAGGGTGTCTTGATATCTTTTCAAGGGCGCCACTGAGTGCTGCACAACATTAGAACTGCTAGGTGTGCCAACATGATTCACATGATAAGCTCAGAGGACGCATCCAGATGAGCGCACACGTACAGTATGTGATGTCACACACACCGCACATGCAGGCATCCATTACACTGCTAATTTGCAGGGCAGGGATGTTTTTTGACACCAGGTGTCTTTTTGACATCCCAGTGTAAAAAGCAACCTGCATTAGAACAAAGCAGATTGGGGCAAATGATGGTCATGTGCACCGCCCAAAACTGGACCCTGGCCAGCTAAGGCATGCTCCGGCTGCCGGCCAGGCTCTTTGTTCCGGATTGCCACCTCTGGAGCCTTGGGAGTTCCCCAGGACCCCAGGTAAGGATGTTGGGGCCAGCCCGGGTGCTGGCCCCAGCCTCCCCTACTCTACCCAAGGCAATTTGCCACACATCAGAGCAAGCATGCACGGGTGTTCCCTTGGAACAAGTAGCAGTGGCACAACTATGTGACACTGCTATTTGTCCCAAGGGGAGTGCATGTGTTTGCTCATCTGGATGCACCCAGAGTTTTCAAACTGTAGTGTTAAAACATTCTACCCTTTTGAGTTCTTTGAAACATAAGAATTGCTCTATTATTTTTCTGTAGTCACAAAAAGACTGAAAACCATGAGCTGGCATTTTCTGAGGGATGCTTCAAGTCTATTGTCTATAAGTCTAAAATGGCTGAGAACCACTGGGTTAACTGGTAGCTTTGAGTTCAGCAACCATGCCACTTTCAGTCAAATATGAAGACCAGAAAGAGGTAATGTCTGTAGTAGAGTCTAGAGGTCCCTGTTATATAATAACTTAGTGATTAGAGCACACAATTGGGAAGTGGCTTCTTGCCTCTCCTGAGATGACAGGGGTTCAGTCCTACATCTCCTATAGTCTAGGCCCTAACCACTAGTTTAGGGATAGAAATATTCTTCTTTCTTCCTGCTG